TGTGTGTATGTATAATTTTTTAAATTTTGTTACATGTTTAGGAGCCTTGAGCTGGGCAATTCACGGAAGATGTCACAGGGGAACCAGAGTTCAGTAGAGAGAAAGGAAAAGCCGGCTGTGAGGTGGTACCTTAGGAACGCCAGGCTGAGAGGCACAGACCTGGGGCGAGGCCTGCCTTCTTGCTGGGGCCCCGGGCAAACCACAAAGGCCCTCTGAGCCGTAGTTCCCACCACTGTAAATTGAGAGGTTGGATTATATCCATGATTCTCAAATCTGGACGGTTGTCAGATTCATCTGGAGAGCTTAGGAGGCCCAACCTCAGAGCACCAAGGTCTTTTAAAAAGCACCCCAGGCAATTTTAAGGTACAGTGAGGATGGAAAATCAGTGGAGTGGATGATCACTTGGGTTCTGTAGAATAGATACCAAAGGTCACCCGGTCTTGCTGGCAGAGTGGGTACTGGTTTCTGTTTGGAGTGCTGGTCAGAACCATGTTGTGGAGAGTTTTAAACTAAGAATCTATCTGTAGGTAGCTGGGCATGAATGAAGATTTTTATACAAAAAGTGTTGAAAGCAGTGTTCTAGAAAAAAATTCTTTCTATTGTCTGTATGTAGTAGAAGGAGAAGAAAGAGGGAACTAAGAGCAGATGTGTGAACTCTGGGTGTGAACGAAGGTGTTAGCAAACAAAACTGAGTAAGGCGTGCTCCGGACTGCCGCAATGCAATAGAATTATAGAACTATTTTTTAATAGGAGTAATTTGAATAGTCCTGAGTTTCCATTATAACTGATATGAGCCGTGACAAATGAAAACCATTAAATCATTACTATCAAAATAGTTCATGTTTTTAATATGGGATAATTATCAGAGAAACATGTAGCATAACATGGATATGAAAAAGGGGTGCTACTAAAATCAGACGCAGTTTGAAATGAAGTTTTGTTCTCACTTGGTCATCACTACATATAACCAAGGAAGCTTTCATTTAGATGAATTATCTGCTGTAAGTTATTGTGTCAAAACCACACCTATTTCATAAGCTGCCACCAAAGGGTGAGCAAGAGAGACTATGGAAGAAATATCCTCTCTATTCCTCTCCCTTTCAAAAACACGAAGATTACCACTTACCAACTTCCTGGGCTTTCTTTAAAAAGCATTTTAAAATAACTGTCAAGATAGCATGTGATGCTTGGTAGCCTGACCCCTTGCAGACTAATACCCTCAAGGCTTCCAAGCAAAAGCAGAACCATGCAAGAGTCCAGAGCCAAGAGGAAATGTCCTCTCTGCCCAAGTCTTGTAATACTTACATACTAAACTATTTACATGATGAGATGTTTTTCTTAAAGCATGTTCGTCCCTCAAGGGACCTTTAGAGATAACTTTCTTTTTTTGTGAAGAATCTGGGTTCCCTGTGAATAACTTTGATGATTAACTTTTCGATTGTGTCATGAATGTTAATGGACAACCTCAAGTATTTAGATTCATAGACTGTGTTTGGTGGTAATTAATCTCAATGAGTTCATATGTAAAAGGTCTAAGTTTTCATCTAACTGATGTGAGCCATGAAAACCATTAAATCATTGCTATCAAATTGTTCTGTTTTTTTCCTGCTTATTTTGAAGAATATCCAAGCTAAATTATGTCCCAAAGGACTTAATTTTCAGCCTTAATTGCCTAAGTCTGTATCTTCTTTGATTGAGGAGATTTCCATATTAATGCTAGTAAAAACTCATGAAATTCTTGGAGGACGAGTTCTGCTAACCTTAAAATCATTAGTCAAATTACTAGAATTAAAAAATACATGTTCATTTAAAAAATGTGCCAATGAAAGAATTACTTCAACATGTATTTTAGAATAAACACTTAAGTGTATGTAAACATAGTGGACTTCCATGGAGTCTTGCAGACATTCTTTACATGTTTATTGACTAAATCAATGAATCATCAATAAAGCATTAAGAGAGCTGTAATGCAAATTTATTATAACCATGCAACTTTAAAGCTACATCCCAAGGGCACAGGTGTTACACCTGTTCTCAAGGACAGGACTTTGCATGGTGAGGAGCCCACTAGGAGTTAGTTAGACCCCAATAAGGAGAGGACAGTATGGACAGCCACCTCCCTTGGGAAATAATAACTAAGTGCTTAGCACATAACAGACAACGATAATATTTAATTGAATTGTTAAATCCAAGGTCTATGTTGGAACTTTATTTTCAAGGTCTATGATAGAATACTCTCTTCTAGGTGAAATTGCCTTTAACAAACTGCTTCTGGCACATAAGAACTTAAATTTGTGGAGTCAGTATTACTTTTCCCACTACATAACTTCATCCAACAGAAACTGGAGCCTTAGGGAGAATTGTATCAGGAGCTGCCCTCGGCTGCCTTTGACACTTCATGGAGCAGTTTTGCTGATAGCTCAGTATGTATACAGATCACCTGGGAATCTGAAACTGCAGGATCTGATTCAGTAGGTCTGAACAGAGCCTGAGACATTCTCCAGCTCTAACAAGCTTCCAGGTGATATTGGTGAAACTGGTGTATGAGTCACACTTTGAGCAGCAAGATCATAAGAGCTAGATTTCTAAGTAGTTAGGTTAAGCAGATACAGTATGATGCCAAAGCACTCAAAAGACTGATTATGTGAACATAGATGAGTCACTTGACTTCTGAATCCATCTCATTAGAAAAAATGAGTATAATAGTATAATAAGACATTGATATCTACCAACAGGATTGTGTGAGATTAAATTAATAATGTTATATGAAAAGTTATGAGAGCATATGGTACATAGTCACTGCTAAATCAATGAATAGTAAGAACATAAGCACACAACTCCATTGGTAACTGGTGAAGATGGGACGACCAAGAGGCTGTGTGCTTTCTACACATCAAAGGATTCTAGTCTTCATTCCACTTTTTTTTGCCAATTACAATGTCTAGCACTTAAGAGTAGATCTCTGTGGAATTGCATTAGTAGCAAAATTGATCACTGCCAAGTGTACACTTTTGGTTTCAAAGACATTAGTATTAGGATAATGACCTAATGTCTCCCCATGGTACTAACTGGAAAGAGAACATTCACCCGAGAAAACGGTAATAACTTCTGGGCCTTGAGTCCTCTTTAAGCCGAAGTGTCATCACTGGGAGAAGACTCAAATGAAGAAGACAGAACCAGCCCCAATTTTCAATAACAATATGATATAAAATAGCTCACTATTCTTTTCCAGCCAGTGGTCACAGTAGTTTCTAATTTCATAAATTCTGTATGAATTTTTTCTCTCTTATATATAAAACCAAAGATTAACGTTGGCAGTTTGGCCTGACTTGTCCCTGGTAGCTAGGAGCTCAGCCTGCAGTGGTGTGACCAGTACTGCAGGGGCCCAAATCTACATCACTGTACGGTGGCTCCTATGCCACCCAGATAATGCCCCCAAAATTACTCTTCTGAGCCTCAAAGTTTCTTGTTAACAAACTTGCAAACTATTGAATGTCACTCTCGAAAAGTGCACAGCAGGAAATAGAAGGTAGAAAAATCAGAGAATAATCTGCAGCATCATTTACATCTTAATGTCTCTTTCCACTGAGAATTCAGAGACAGAAAGAAACTGTTAGCACCTTGAGACAGTATAGTTTAATTTGTGTGCAATAAAATTCAGAGTGAAATCAGCTAACCTTTGCCAAAAGAAATGAGATTTTAAAGTCTAATCGAAAGATTTAAGCAAAGTGTTATTAAAAGATGTTCTCTGCCTCCCCCCTCCACCTTATTATCTATAGGTCCCAGGAGAAAAAAGAAGAAGCTATCACCTTACTGAAGGATTCCATTAAATATGGTCCAGAGTTTGCAGATGCATATTCAAGCTTAGCTTCGTTATTGGCTGAGCAGGTAATTGTTTCCATTTAATTTCACACAATATTTTTTTAAATGTTACTGTTGTGTGTATAAACTAATGTTGCATGGATTTTCGTACTAATGATTTAATTTGTGAGCTCATATTGCACCACTCGTCTCTAGTTCAGTTTCTTTTTTGACAAATGACAAGCCTAGTTTTCTCACTCCAATATATTCTGTGTGTATTGTAGGTGGCCTTTAGAAAAAGATGGTCCATTTGTAGCCATTGATGTATTCTCTATCACTTTGGGACAAAATCTGTCAAGAACAGATGATATGATACTTGCTGTTTTTATTACTACTTACTTGTCATATTTTTCTAGGGGATTGCTGATTGACTGAGATCTCCAAACTCAACATGGAGCCAATTACTGATAATCCTGTAGATCCTATTTTAATGCCTGTTAGAATATTACCAAGGCTTGTAGGATAGGCCCCTAAGAGAACATTTCTCATCACATGAAACAGATATGTGTTTTGAATACCCTCCTTCTTTTCACTTGTGTCTAAGTGACTTAATACCATTTTTCAGAGTCCTGGGTGCATGCCCCCCTGCTATGGGGAAACAGATATAAGTTGTCTTCTCTCTAAATTTATAGTATAGTTTTGTTGACACACAGACGTGCCCGTGATACACGCTAGATTCTGCTATTACAAAATTGCCAGATTGTCTTTAAAATCAAACTCAACATCTTTGCAAGATGCCCTGCAGCATTAAGTTGGCTTAAAGGTAATAAATGACTTGATACAGCATGTCAGTTATATCAGGAGCAATTTGCATTAAAAAATATTACAGGTCCCATCAAGAAGCAAAATTAGGACGTTCTATGAATATTTATGTGACAGAAATTATAAACCTGGTTTCCTTGCTCTAACTCTCTATGTCATATAGGTAGGCTTTAGACAAAAGCCCCTGTGTAATTCTCCAGGTAGTATAAGTGGGGCTTTAGACAAAAACCCCTAATTGGATGTTTTAGGAGAGCATTTAAGCTAAAATGATGGTGGTCGCATTCTCTGGCATACACTGGCAGTCCTCAGCTACCTTTGGCTTATGTCGAAGCAGACACAGTAGGGTTTTCTGAAGAAAAGATTGGCTCCGTCCTTTGCCTCACCCTACCCTGGCTCCTTCATTTTCATGAGACCCTCGCCCTGCCTCTGCCTGACTGGCTGCTGTGCAGTTATTGAGACATGCCAAGCATGCTTCCCTCTTGGAGCCTTTGACCAACTGCTCCTGCAGCGCTTCTCTCTTATATACCATAGAGTTTCCCGGATATCTCATATCGTGCTGGTTTCTGTGCAAATGTTACAATATCAGAGAGGTCTTCTGTGATGACCCTTTGTAGAGAGCACCCTTCCACTGCCTGTCCCCTTGTCCTGCCTTATTTTACTCCATAGCATTTATCACCATCTAACATTTGTTTATGGTCTTTCTACCACCGCTAAAATATTTGACTCCGTGAGAATGGCTGTTTTTTTTTTATTTGTCTGAATTCATGAAAAGTTATGACTTGAAAAATGATCAAGATATTATATTTAGTGACCTTGAAATTTATACTGGTCCATTCTAGAGTATCTTTGCATTTGTCCTTACTATTAACAAATTTTATAGTGGGTGAAAGTTTAAAAAGGACAACATGTATAGTTTTTCTTCAGTGAGGTTTAAGAAGTGCCAGGTGATTTATTTCAACTCGATTACTTGGTAAATTTGATTTTTGTGAACTGCAATGGCAAATTGCCATAAGTTATTGCATTTTGTATAGTTGAAGTTGTGTACAATTTTTAAGAAAAGCAAATTATAACTAGGACCATGATCTTTTCTTACATACAAAGGTCACGTCCTTTAGCAGTCTTTCCAATTCTAGATGTGAATGTCAAATGCTATGATCTAAGAATGTAATTGAAACACTGAAAGGTTCTTTCTTCTGCCCCTTTGGGCAATTGATTTTCACATGAAAGAAACAGAGCAGCTGTTGGGCATAACTCAGGATTGCCTTCCTCTCTTTGACTTCCAACATTTTATCTTCATGTTTTGAATTCTTTAGTAATAAAAGAATGCTTCAGATGCACAAGCAAGGCACAAACTGTTAGAGAAAAATACATCTCAACATTCTTTGGTAGCAAGTGAATTTATTTCTTAGTGGCACAAATTTATTTAACTGCATCGTAGCATTTCAGACCCCTGGGGTGTATGAAAGCAATGTTTACAAACCTTGGTCAATCTGTAACACACTGTGAAGCATTCGCCTAACTTAAGCAGGTCATATTCCCTTGTCACCATCTGTCCACATGCACAGCTGACTGTGGTTGTGGGACGATCTAATGCTAAAAAACTCTTTCCTATACTGAGCTGAAATCACCCATTTTGCAGGCAGTTTTTCAGACTCTAGATGAAAGGATTCATTCTGTATTGAATTTCAAGCTTGTTATATGAACCAAAAATTTCTGATTTTCTAGAACTTTTAGTCTTTTTTTCTTCTTCCATGCGGTGTACTAAGTATTCTTTCCAGCTGTTTCAAATGGCAGATTTGGTAAGAATAGCTTCTAGTTAAATAACTAGTTTATGTCTTTGACTTAAAAAAATTTTGTGGAGATCAATAGCAGACAGGAAGCCCTGCGGCTAGAACCTTCTCTCCAAGCTGACCTTTATCTTATCCGAGACTCTTTGGGTAAAGTTATTCGGCCAGTAGTTAACGCATCAAATTATATTATCGTCTAGCTCACCTCTCTCAGTCTTGTCTACAAGGATGTTTTGAGGCACTTTGTCAGACACCTGCTGAAGTCCTTCCCTGATGTAAGGTTGTGATTCCTCCAAAAACGGAAACGAGGTTGATTTGCTAAGCCTTGCACTTGCTGTAAGCATCCTACTGTCTGTCGACGCCATTTCCCATCCTCAGTGCCAATAAAACCATGAGTATAACACTCTCTTCTAAGAGAAGAGATTATTCTGGAACTAATATTGTGTTCCTTACTCTGTTGAAACCTGAAGGAGGCAAGTTGATCTGTTTGGGAAAAACAGAGGATTTAGAAATTTGAAAAATAGATTAATAAGTTGACAAGACATTGTATGTTGGAGCATATTAAGGCCTGTAATGGAGCCCAAGTTTGAAATTGATAGATAATAGGAAGCAAAGGAAAATGTCTGAGGAGAGGGTTTTAAAACACGTGAGGAAGAAAACATGTGGAAATATATGAGGTATTTTAAGAGGAGTCTTTTTTTAATATGCATTCTGGTGTGAGCAGTTGAGAGCCTTGTTTCAGGAAGAAAGTGAGGGAATGGATAGACCGTGGTGGGAAAAGATTCCCTTGGTACTTAATGGCTGTTGCATATAAAGGGTGACAGGAAAAGAAAAATAGAAACTTAAGAGCTCAGGGCAGAGCACCTAAAGGACTGAGGAGATTCATGGCCACTGACAGCCATGGGGAAGCCAGAGAGAAGCAAGATTTTAGGAAGGAAATAAGATCAGCTTCAGCGTTTTTTCCCAGTTAAACAAGTCATACAAATATGTAACGGAAGGTGTGAAAAATCAGAGAAAATAAAATATACCCTTTACCCACACTATAATATGTAGAAACAACAAATATCATTTTTTTAATATCATGCAGGTCTTTTAAATATCTTTATGTTGTTTACATATAGTTTGTATCCTGTTCTTTTCAGTTGTCTTTAAATTATACATAATATTATATGTTTTCTCCTTGTGCTAAAAGGCTTTCATAAATACCATGTGAATGGCCGCTTACTGGTTTATCAAAATAATACATTGTAATTTACATTATAATATCTCAACTATTGAGTCATTTGGATTCTTTTTTTTCTTCTTCTTTTTTTGTGGCAGTGAACTTTTCCCTTCTTAGGGCTTTTTAAAAACAATATTTTGAATCCTTTCCTAATGATATATTCCTAAAAGTAGACTTTCCATGTCAAACAATATGAACATGTTTCATGACTTTGAAACATGTTAGTAAATTGCTTTCCAAAAGGTAATACCAATTTACTCTGCCACCAGCAGCTACAACCTCTAAGCCTTGAACGCTAGTGAAACATTTAAATGCAAATGGCATACGGGCTGGTGACAGGGAGAGAGACCAGGGCTAGAAAGATAGGGGAAACCATATTATTAGCAGGTATTTTCATTCAGGGGGAAATGAAGAATAGTGTGGGAGAGAAAAAAAACCTTAAGGAATTTTCTAGCCTTCTCATTTTATAGATAAAAACATATGGTACACAGAATTAAGCCTGAGGACATACAAATAACTAGTGACAGGCCAAGACTAAAACCTGATCTCTGGACTCCTCACCCACTGCCGTTTCGCTATGACTCTACGGTCCCATGAACAGACTGGCAATGGGTATAGTTAATGAGGTTGGGTGTGGAGGGGTAGAAAGAGAGAAGTGATAGAGGAAACCCAGGAGGATGAGTTGTCACAGGAGATAGAGACATAAAAATATCCAGAAGAAAGTTGATGCCCTTCTGTGTCTCCTGCAGCAAAGAAGTCAAGAACACTGAGAACAGAAAATAAGCTCTTAGATTTGAAGGCGGGTTGGTCTCTGCCTTGCTGTTCTCTTCTGGTTCTCCGTTAGCATTCAGAACTGGCTGTACTCCAGCGCCACAGATAGGACTGTAAACATTTATAAGTCCGCAATCATTTTTAACCAGCCTATTCTTGCCTAGATTATATAGCTTGACATTACACTAGCAGGAAACGAAATAAAATTAACATTATTTATGACTCTGACCACTATAAATTATTACTAGCCCCAGGTTTATGGCCTATTGAAAAACTTAATTAATATGATAACACTTAAAATAAAATACTTTCCTTTCATGTATTTTGGGATATGACTTCACCTGATGCAAGAGTGAAAAGAAAATTGGAACAATAAAATGTAAGTTGGAACTCTAGATCAAAGAGGAGTCCCAGGATCAATTTGTCTCCCTTTACAAATGCCATCTTTTGGGTAGATTCAGGCATGCATGCCACTGCCTGTGTGGTTAAGTCAACTTGGAATTAGACCCTAACTTAAGAATTTACTGATTTAATTATTTAACGTATATTTTGTTGAGCACCTATCTGCTAGCAAGCACCAGAGATTGTTGAAGTAGCGAGGTATGTGCCTTACCCCCTGCAGCATAGTTTAGAAGGGAAGCCTACCCCTAAACAAAGACTTACATCTCCCTTCCCAATATTTAACACCAGAGTGCGACATGTGTATAGAGGAAAAGTACCAGTGAGAGTGTTAAGGGGACCTGACCTAATGTGGGGAAGAGATGTACGGGGAATGGGGCCCATTGCTAAAGGGTGAAATGTAATCTGACACCTAAAAAACTGGTAGATAATGAGTAGGTAAAAATGGAAGGAAAAGTTTTCTGGCCAGAAGGAATAGACCGTGCAAGGACTCTGAGGTGGGGAACACCGTGGAGCCTTCCTCTAATAGAAAGAAAGTCACGTACCTGGAAGTGTAGAGAATGGGGCAAAATGGCACGAGAAAAGTCTAGAGAAGCAGGAAGCCACATTCATATGCAAACGTGGTTGCCCCTCTTTTCCTGGTCCCATGACTGCCTCGGATCTCTATAGTTGCCTACTCTTGTCATGCTTTTTCCTTAGCACTTATTTCTCTGTTCTTGGCATTCCCTTTTTAAAGTGATCATTTCTCTTTTGCTTAAATTGTCACAGAGTGGAGTTGATCGCATACCACTGGGAGATGAGAAAATCCAGGATTACAAAATACCTAACATTTTCCTGGTGGGGAGGAATACCAAGTTAATTGATTCATTTCAGTTGGATGTGAAAGAGAATCAGACATCAAATATCGATAGCATGTTTCTCATAATGTTTATGTTGATGACTCATGGGTGGAGGAACTGTGTTGTAAAGAAAATGAAAGCAAAGCAGAGGGTGAGAAAGCAGGCATCTTTGTTTTCTTTTGAGCTTATGTGTCTTGAATAGTTTCTTTGAGAAGTCATTATGAGTTTAAAGATCTGTCAGTCCTTAACTTCCCAGGTTTGAATAGTAAATAAAGTCATTCATCGAATAAGAAGATACCTTATGACTACATGGGCTTGACACCACTGATTAGAGTGAAAGCACTTCTAGAAGGCAGTTCAGACACTTGGCCTTGATGTTAAGGCACTGGGACAACTTTTTCTTCTATTGGTCCTTCACCACATGGAATGAATACCACACTCTGCACCTTCTGTGCGTTAAGTACACAGTGCCATAGGCCATCCATTAAGCCAGCTGTTTGCAAAGTGTTGATGGGGACCCCCATGGTCCGAGAAGGTCTATACAGTTTTTGTAATAGTACTAAGAAGTAATTTGCCTTTTCACCCCCATTTTCTTGTGAGTGTAGAGTAGTTTTCTAGCAGCTACATGATGTATCCACAACTATAAAAAGGCCATTAAAATACTCTCCCCGTTTCCAACTAAATATCTACATGAGACCAGGTTTTCTTTAAATATGCCAACCAAAAATAAATATAGAAACAGATTGAGCACAGAAGTAGATATGAGATTCCAGCTGTCTCCTATGAAGTCAGATATTAAAGAGATTGACAGAAATATAAATTAATGCCGCTCCTCTCACAAATTTTTTATTTTGAAAAATATAGTTATTTTTCCAATAAATGTGTTATTTATGTTTGGGTTTATTATTATTTTAAATAAAGTAATCAATATTTTTAAAATTTCTCAGCTTCTTTTCTAATATGGTCAATATTGATAAATATAGCCTGCATAAATGAAAGCTCTTTGGGATCCTCAGTAATTCTTAGATTCAAAAGGGTCCTAAAATTAAGAGGTTTGAGAATTGCTGCGTCAAGCCGATGTCCACGTGTCCTTTGGGCTGCTGCAGCCTGGACCGCACAGAAAGTTCTCCAAACGTGTCAGTTGGCCCAAGGAAGTAAATGACAGTCAAGGGTCCTTTTTCAAGACATCTATTTTTCACTTTTCCTTTCTTGAGATAAAAAGTGTGCCACAATGGGTAATTGCAGCATATAAAAGTGGGCATGTGACTATGTTTTATCTCTATGCCAAGGCCCATTTTATTTCCATCCCACTGAAAATGCTTTGGGTCTTGGGGAGGAGCCCTGGCCGCGTGCTGCCACCTTAACCATTGCCCTCAAAGGCCGATTTCACGCTGAGGCCATGGTTCACTGGGGACTCTGGTGTACAGCAGGCAGTGTTATTTGTCAGACCCATTCTCTGGGTCACAGATATTTTTAATTAAAATTGTCCTGTAAATAGCTGACATTCATTTCCTCTGGAACTTACAGGTCAGTAGAGACTAGGCATGTCAGGCTTAGTTCAGGACATCTAGCCAGATGAGGTGAATGAAAGTGAGTGCTTAAAATTGAACTTCAGGGATTCAGTAGCACTACTGTTTAAGATACATGGATCGCCCTTCCAGAGGAGGTAGAATTTATTTCAAATAGCAATACAGTATTTTTCTCCTGTAGGTGGTGGTTCCCCTTTATTTTTTCATAAGTGGAGTAAATCATTCCTTGAAATTAAGAGTCAGGTCAGAGGAAAAGAAAGACAGATATTGAAGACATTTTCATAGAGCTTTGAAACTGCCATTGGGGTTACTAAGGGTACAAGGCTGTGATTGCTTGCTCTGAGAGACATGCGTGGTCTTTTAAATCTCATTACATCTTTAGATTTTGAAAATTGCATTTCTAGTGGAAACTTAGCTTATAGACCCAAAAAGGAGAGAGTGGTTTTAGACGAAAGAGGTAATCTCTTTGCTTATTTTGGACCCAAAAGAAAGTGAGAAAAAGGTAAAATCAGGTGATGTAAAACAGTAATTATACTTAAAAACTGTTTACTGTTGTATTTGACTTCAGCAAGTGAGACTGTGAGGGCATTGATTTTACTCCTTTCAGGAAAAACACCTTCAATTCACCTAGTTTGGTTGTAAAGATGCTTTTCTGATCCCAAGAGGCCACAAATTTTTTTCAAGCGTGTATTTGGCACACAGCTGCTGCAGTTAATAGTAAGCAATGTCCTCGGGCATTTGGAACATGACAGGTGTAGGGTATTTATCTAGCCCAAGGTCTAGGTGCCACTCTCGGCTGCCTCCCAGGTACCTGGTGCTGCTTCTCCATGGCACTGAACACTGCAGCGTTGCCGCCTTCTTGCCTGAATCCCACTCAGTTGTCTGTGAAGGGAGGGACTGGATTGTCTGTCTCGTTCACTCTTCTGTTTTCACTGCATACATGGATGGCACATGGATGGTGTTAAATTAAGTTTAGTTTGAGACAGATTCTGTAACATGCTGTCTTTCTCAGATCTTCTGATTGAAAAACCGAGTCTCCTCTGTACCAAAGAATAGAGGTTTTTGCTTTTCAAAACCTTTTAATTACCACTTTGGCTAAATGAATGACTATTATCTTACATGGACTTGTGACCCTATTTTGATTGTTTTAAACCTTTGAGGTATTTGACAGGCTTCCCAAAATCAAATTTCAAATTCAAAATTAAGTCTTTTTTTTTACCTCAAACTAACTCTAAAATCATTCCACCATTTTGTATCATCCATTTTCATTGGGACAATTACTGGGGTAAAGGGCATCCCATTTGAACAATTATTTTCAGGCCTTTTTCAGCAGTAGGGCATGTTGTACAGGTCCTGATCTTTCCAGATGTCCCATTTTAGTAAACATCGGCTGGTTCACCCCAAAGGAACTAAAGACAGATATGAATTGTAAATATTCACGCATAGTTAATATTGACTTTAATTCAGGAAAAGTACATAATGCTTTATCTCAGTGCTTGTTGTATAGTAGGTGCTCAGTAAATTTTTTCTGCTTGTCTTACTCCTAATATTCAGTTCATTGTTGATTTTTTTTTAAACTTTCTCACCATTTTTTTATTGTCTTTTAAAGGAGAGATTTAAGGAAGCTGAAGAAATATACCAGGCTGGAATAAAGAACTGTCCAGACAGCTCAGATTTACACAACAACTATGGGGTTTTCTTAGTTGATTCTGGTAAGTGAAATCAAAGAGAAACTGTCCTGTTGAGATTAGATAATACCACTTATCAAGCAAAATGGAAGGCAAATAATGCCTCAGAAGTAAAATTCACTTGGCTTGGCAGGAAGCTCATAGTGTTGACAGTCATTGTACCTTGGAGCTGTCATTTCCCTAAATCTTCAAGCTCAGTTCAGCAAAACCTGCCTACTTCTTATAATCGTGTCTCTAAGGAAAACTCCTCAGATGGCAGGAGGTAGTCTGGATGATTTAATGAGCCCCAGTCTTCTTTGAGTATCATTTATACATATTTATAAATCTATGATGATGAAATGTTCCTCTACAATAATGCAAAACCTGCCTCTGAATCTAGTTACTGGCAGATGGTAAATACTTTTCTATAACTGACTTTTTAAAAAGCCTCCAGAATTGTTGCATTGTTACTTCCTTGATACACATTACAGAAACTGCATTATTAAAATGAATACAGCGCTCTTATATGACAGGTGCTCTATAAAATACACTTACTTCATCTTATTTAATGCAAAACATTACCGGGCAGGGATTCTGTTTTCTTTATGATTTGTGCAGAGCCCCATATACTGCCAGCATGCAGTGAATACTTATAAGTAATGAAATTATATTTGAATTTAATGCAAAGGCACCGCTTTGTTCTTCCTGACTACTAGACTAGCTGCCCTGCAGTAAAATTCAGTTTTAATTATTTTTTCAATATGAAATGCTTGAAGGGGTTTTTATTTTCTAGGATATTTGAAGCTCTTCTGTTTTATAGAATATAAATTTATATTCTGATACATCTGGGAAACTTACTATATTTTTGCATCTGTAAAGTTGTTGTGGAGTGCCACCTGCTGGTTCATTAGGCACATAATAATAAATTGTCATAAAGAGAAAAACCAGAAGAGAGCCCCAGTTGGCCTGGTCTAACCCTCCTCCTCCTCTTACTTCAACAACAAACAGTCCCACCCCACACGCCTAAAAATGACAACAGCAACTCACTGACCGCTGTAGGACATTGAGTCTCTTTTGGTACCTTCTAGTCAAACTTGTATTCAAAGCAGGTGCACTTGAGAAGATTTCTGTGCAGATAATAAACATTCCGTTCCATTTAGAACTTCAGACGGTTCTAAAGTTCAGGCAAGCTTCTTTGGAAAACCTTATCAGACTGGAGAGACTTGGTTCTAGTTCTGGCCTTTCCCCTCTCTTTCCCTGGCCTGGGATCTTTGTTAAATCTGTTAATGTCTTCGTACTTTAGTTTCTGCATCTATAAAGTGGTAATTGTGTGTGTGTGTGTGTGTGTGTCTTTTAATCTCTTTAATTCCAACAGGTAACTAAATAGCATCAAAAGTCAGCTAAATGGTATCAAAAATACCTGCAAAGATCATATATATAAAAGTATTTGACAATATATAAGGTACTGCACAAATTCAAGGTAGCATTATTATTGTTTCAAATCCCATTTAATACCATTTAAATAAAACTGTATGATTTTAAAAAGAGATTTTCAAGATAAAGCTGATATATACTTGTTAAAACAATGCCTCAATTACTATGTTGCAATATAGTTAAGACAGTTTTGTTTCTGTAACAGTCTACTCTATTTTTTATCTAATGAAAGGCAAATTTATCTTGGATAAATAACGATCAGTGATAATCTGAAAACATCACATTAGCAAAAATGACCAGAAAACACTTTGGCTAACATAATACATGTAATAGAAGGAATAGATTTTAATTTTTACTGCTTTTTTATTTTTAGTTTTTTGAAAGTATGAATGAATAGTGAAATGGTTCAAAGTTAGGCAGTGGCAAGGATGAGAAGCCAAAATGCAGACTAATTTACAAATTGAATAATTGATGGTATGACTCTGTAATAATGAGGAAGAATTATAAGTCGGGAGAGAACCTGAAGATGTCATGCATTTTATAACAAGACATTTTCTGCTCTTACCAACCCATCGCTGGTTACAGGCTTTCCAGAGAAGGCAGTGGCCCATTACCAACAGGCCATCAAACTTAGCCCCAGTCATCACGTGGCCATGGTGAACCTGGGGAGACTCTACAGGTCACTGGGAGAGAACAGCATGGCTGAAGAATGGTACAAACGGTAAAACTCCTTTTCTTCACTTTATAAGTTGCCCAGAGACCTCAGCAATTTCCCATCAACTTTTTAGTGAATTAGAACAGATGTGCTCTCGGAATACTAACAAATTTTGCCAATTCAAGCGATACAGGTTCTCATCTCCAAAGAGAACAACACAACAGTACAAATGGTATCCCAGTTAATGACTTTTTTCCTACTGGTTAGTCCATGGTGCTAAACCAAGGTTGGAATTTAATTCCCACTTTAGTTAGCCCATTGTTTTCTGAAGCTATGGATTGCAACCCAAACCACAAATAGCAATTTCAAAAATGGGAATACAGGAAACATTGCACATACATCAGAACAACGTATCACCATTAATGGGAAAGACCCTTTGGGCTCAGTTTCCATTATTGATAGGTCGCTAGAGACATTCTAATGTTCAGAGGGCGGCATGATGATCTTTTTTTTAAAACCTTGTTCTTGATATAAAAACAAAGACCATGTCAGAGCAGAGACTCAAACCATGGACAGTCTTCCCTAAATTAAGCTTAGATATTTGGAAATGTACCTGTTAGAAGAAAAGTGTCAATTGGCCTTTCTCCAAACCCAGCGCCCTGCAGGTGGCACACAAAGCTGAAATCTTGTCACCTTTGGGAGCATTATATTACAACACTGGCCGATATGAAGAGGCTTTGCAGATTTACCGGGAAGCTGCAGCACTTGAGCCTTCTCAAAGGGAGCTCCGCCTGGCACTGGTGAGTACAAAGATGAAAGCGAATGAAGCTGGCAACCTAAACACAACATGCAATGAAGAGAGCTGCAGTTGTCAAGCCTCGAAACTGGAGCTGGAATGTTATAATATATCCACTGTATGAATATTCACATAACCAGTGTCAGAGCCATTCACCAAAGATGCGGACACCAAAAATATTGTTTTTGTTTTGAAATAATTTCAAACTTATGAAAAACTTGTAAGAATAGTAAAAAAAAAAGTCCCATATACCCTTTCACCCAGATTCATTGATTTTTTTTAACATTTTGATGCATTTGTTTATCACTCCCTTGAATTTGTGTGTATGTGTGTATATACATATATGGATATATGTGCATATTTAGAAATGTATGTATGCATATACCTATTCTAATAATGTGATTACATGTGATTTTTTTTCTGAACCATGTGAAAGTTTATAGATATCATATCCCTTGATCTCTAAATACTTTTGCGTATAGTTCCTAAGAAGAAAGACATTCTATAATCATGGTACCATTATTTGACTCAGGAAAATTTACGTTCATATCAACAATGTTTTTATTTCAATGTTTGGAACTTCACTCTTCCTTTTCCTTAGATGTATAAGAAATCAAACTTATCTCATTACATATGCAGTGTTTTGTTGAAATCAGAGATTATTTCTCTTCTGACACAGTGAATTCTTTTTAAAAGGCACAAGTCATTTCATTGGATATCTTTGTTGTTCCTGCCATTCATACACAAATGTATGCAAATACCTAAACAAATGAAGAAACAGCAAAAAGTTAAAATCTATCAAGTGTGGTGATCCAGCCTTCTCTGTGAGCCACGAAATAGATGCTGAGCATCTTGGTCAGGAGCATTTCTGAAAAGCTCTATTCAGGGATGCTTTATGTGATAAGGTGATAACAAAGTGTCCGCTAAGCCAAAGTCCATGTGGTTTTGCAGGCTCAGGTTTTGGCTGTGATGGGTCAGACGAAAGAAGCTGAAAAGATGACCAACCACATTGTGTCAGAGGAGACTGGATGCCTCGAATGCTACCGCCTCTTGTCAGCAATCTATAGCAAGCAGGAGTACCACGACAAGGTAGAGAAGGACACTTTTTAGGGTTGTTTGCATTCGTCGGTAGAAAATGGTGTGCCTAAGTGATCCTCCGGTTTGCATATTTATAAGGCTGAGAAGTCTTAAATATCATTAGTTGACATGTCTTATCTTATGAAATTTTCACAATTCTCTCTTTAACTCCTAAGATGTCCCCTTGAAATAATATTTTCATGGCTCACCCTTGGTCTGGAGATTGTATGTGGTATGTCTCAGTTCATTTTCAGCTAACTCTGTAAGATCAAGACTAACATTTGTATGCTTTGTCACTTTCCACATTCCTTCTGATATATTGTTTTATGTAATCCTTGTAACAACCCTGCAATGCAGGTCAGCAACACAACATTACAACCGTTACTGTTTATCTCCATTTTAAAAACCACATAACCAGTAAATTTATGAACTGACTCAACAAATATTTGTTGAATGCCTGCTATATGCCAAACACTGTGGTAGGCACTGGGAATAAAGTGATGTGAAAAACCAAAAAGTCACTGCTCTTGTCCTCATGGAGCTTACAGTGGAGGAGACAGAGATCAAAAAATCACCAAACAAATGTAGAATTATAGCTGTGCCCAGTGATATCATGAAGAGCTACATGGTCCCAAAGAGCATATAATCAGGGGACCTGACAAGTCTGGAAGGTCAAGTTTCCCTGTGGAGTTATGTGGTGGTACGGGCTGGATGAGGAATAGGAGTTATTAGACAGAGGGGGCAGCAAAGAGAATTCTGGGCAGGGAAACAGCACATGCAAAAGCCCTGTGGTAGCAGCAGGTGCTCGCCTGAGGAATGGGCGGGAGTGAGCAGGGGTACACTGTGAGATGAATGCACAGGTTGCTAGGAGTAGACCCTTTGGGGCCAAGCCAAAGGTTTTGCTCCTTATACTGGGAGAAGCTTTGGTGTTTTAAGGAGAGGAGTAACCTGATTGTATTTATGCTTCAAAGGGATCTCTAGCTGCCAGGGGGCCGTGGGTACTGGGAGCAGAGTCGGTACCCGGAACTGAGAGGAGGCTGTTGGAGTGGTCCAGATGGACATGTGGTCAGGGCAAATGTCTGACCTTAAATCTTATTTTCTTCCAACTGTATCATACAATCTCCCTGTAAGGTGATTGGGGACATTTTATTGTCACTTATCTGTAAATGGGAAACATGGAATATAAGAATATTATTTTGTCAGGGGCATTAGTTCATCAATGAGAAAATCAGAGAGAAGGAAGAATGTATTTTGATTGTCACACACCACACCAGCCTATTAATACATAGGGACAAAAAGTAGAAATTTTATCAGTTAAGTTTTTCTTTACCTAATCTGTGTTTATTCTGTCT